AAAAAAAAAAAAAGAAACATCGTTCTAGAAGGCTGGAAGAAGCAGAGGAATGAATCAATGACCTAGAAGACAAAGCAGTGGAAAGCAATGAAGCTGAACAAAAGAGAGAGAATCATGCAAATGAGAATAGAGTTGGGGAACTCAGTGACTCCACCAAATGTAATAATATTTGCATTATAGGATCCCCAGAAGAAAAAGAGAAAAGGGGGCAGAAAATATATTTGAAGAAATAATAGCTGAAAAATTCCTTAATCTGGAGAAGGAAACAGACATCCAGATCTAGGAGGCAAAGAGAACTCCCATCAAAATCAACAAAAGGAGGCCCACACCAAGAAATATTGTAATTAAATTTGCAAAATATAAAAAATCTTAAAAGCAACAAAAAAAGTCATTAACTTACAAGGAAAAACCCATAAGGCTAACAAGAGGATTTTCAACAAAAACTTGGCAAGCCAGAAGGGAGTGGTGTGATATATTCCAAGTACTGAATGGAAAAAATCTGCAGCCAAGAATACTCTATCCAGCAAGGCTATCATTCAGAATACAATGAGAGATAGTTCCCAGACAAACAAAAACTAAAGGAGTTTGTGGCCACTAAAACAGCCATGCAAGAAATATTAAAGGGTACTTTTTGATTGGAAAGGAGAGACCAAAAATGACAGTATAAAGGCAGGAAATATAAAAGCAATAAAAATGAATCTTTTTTTTTTTTGAAAGATTTTATTTATTTGAGAGAGAGCACAAGCAGGGGCAGTGGCAGAGGGAGAGGGAAAAGCAGGCTCCCCGCTGAGCAGGGAGCCAGACGTGGGGCTCAATCCCAGGACCCCGGGATCATGACCTGAGCTGAAGGCAGACGCTTAACTGACTGAGCCACTCAGGTGATTTCTATACACCAATAATGAAGCAACAGAAAGAAAAATTAAGAAATCAATCTCATTTATAATTGCACCAAAGACAATAAGATACCTAGTAATAAACCTAACCAAAGAGGTGAAAGACCTGTACTCTGAAAACGATAAAACACTGATTAAATTGAAGATGACACAAAGAAATGGAAAGACATTCCATGTTCATGGATTGGAAAAACAAATACTGATAAAATGTCTACACTACCCAAAGCAATCTACACATTTATACAATCCCTATCAAAATATTAAAAGCATTTTTCACTGAGCTAAAACAAACAATCTTAAAATTTGTATGGTACTACAAAAGACCCCAAATAGCCAAAGCAACGTTGAAAAGGAAAAACAAAGTGGGAGGCATCACAATTCTGGACTTCAAGTTATATTACAATCAAAACATGTACTGGTACTGGCACAAAAATAGACACATAGATCAATGGAACAGAAGAGAAAACACAAAAATGAACCCACAACTATATGGTCAATTAATCTCTAACAAGGCAGGAAAGTATATCCAGTGGGAAAAAGCCTCTTCAATAAATGGTGTTGGGAAATCTGGACAGCACCATGCAAAAGAATGAAACTGGACCACTTCCTTACACCATAGACAAAAATGAATTCAAAATGGAATAAAGACCTAACTGTGAGACCTGAAACTATACAAATCCTAGAAGAGAACACAGGCAGTATCCCCTTTCCTCTTTCCAGATATGTCTCCAAAGGCAAGGGAAACAAAAACAATAATAAACTAATGGGACTACATCAAAATAAAACCTGCACAGTGAAGAAACCAATCAACAAAACTAAAAGGCAACCTACCAAATGGGAAAAGATATTTGCAAATGACATATCCAATAAAGGGTTAGTATTCAAAATATATAAAGAACTGATACAACTGAATACCCAAAAAACAAATAATCCACATTAAAAATGGGCAGAAGACCTGAATAGACATTTTTCCAAAGAAGACATCCAGATGGCCAACAGACATAAAAAGATGCTCAACATCACTCATCATCAGGGAAATACAAATCAAAACTACAATGAGATACCATCTCACACCTGCCAGAATGGCTAAAATCAACAACACAAAAAACAACAGGTGTTGGTGAGGATGTGGAGAAAGGGGAACCCTCTTACACTGTTGGTGGGAATGCAATCTGGTACAACCACTCTGAAGAACAGTATAGAGGTTCCTCAAAACGTTAAAAATAGAACTATCCTATGATTCAGCAATTGCACTATTAGGTATTTACCCAAAGAATACAAAAATACTAATTCAAAGGGCTATTGCACCCCTATGTTTATGGCAGCATTATTTACAATAACCAAATTATGAAAACAGCCCAAGTGTCCACTGATTGATGAATGGAGAAAGATGTGGTGATATTCCTCTCTCTCTCTCTCTCTCTCTCTCTATATATATATATATATATGAGAGAGGACCATTACCCAGCCTTCTAGAATGATGTTTCTAATCTTGTTTATGGCACTCTTCATCTCTGATTCTTTTTTAACTTTTCTCTACAGTAAGGATCACACTGATGTCTTTTATTCTTTTCTCAAGCCCAGTGGGTATC